TTTGAAACCATTGGGAGAAGTTTGGAGAATGGCGTTGTCAACGCCTTGCCATCCCTTTCTCCCAATGTCAATAAACCAAAGGGCGTTGGAGGCAATCAGCCCCATTCTGAAAACGGCGTTGTCAATGCCATTCTCAAAATGGTTGCTACCTCAATGCCCCCATAATTTGCTGGGCCCAGATAACAGGACTTGATTTTCAACACTCTCGTGATTGTTGAGTTTATTGCACAAAAATGTATTAAATTGGCAGAGAGTATGTTGAACAGCAGTAAAGTGTAGTACATGTTATTGGGGCTATGCATGTAAGCTAAAAAAAATTTTGGAATAGTTGAAAGTCTGTTGGATGATTGGATCTACAGTATTTCCAAACTTCACAAGACTCATATGAACTACAGTTGCACGTTTAAATGTCCTCTTTGGCTAATATTCTCCCTTTGGTGCATGAAATGTTTCCCTAAGTCAACATTGTCATTTTTGCCTTGAGTGCTAAGGTTTGCACAAGGAAGAGGAACATGTTCAAAAATTACATCTAAGACAATTTTGGTTTGGTAGAGAAATTTTGCATTCAACCCAAAATCTATTTTAAAGGAATGAACCTCTCAGAATCCTTCCTGACTATAAAAACCACGCTTCAAAACATTTGGCACTGCTTCCCAGTTGATGAGTTCTTAGGATTTTTCGGCGTTCATTTAAACTTTTTTCAAAGACACCTCCTCATAAACACTTCTTTTGCTTTTTGGCCCAGCCACTGATAAGAGGCAACCACTGCCTCTTTCACAAAATTCTCAAATGTGCTGACTCATCCCAACAATACCTCAACAGTGAGATCTACGGACTTTCTGTGGGTCCTTTGAGGAGGCACCACCCTCATTTCCACTTAGCCAACACAACCCAAAGGGGGGGGGGGGGGGGTCATCCAGGCCAGTGCAGGCTGAAAGAAGTTGCCACAAGCAACAAGTTCATCAATGGAATATCAACGCATATTTTGGGCCAATAATTATGATAGTGTGCAGCAGTAAATACCTGCGGCGCATCTCAATTACAGCAATGTGACAAATTGATAGAAAAGGCAGAACTAAAGGATATAATTAGGTCAGTTTTGCTCTGCTTCTTAAAGCAAATAGTTGAGTCCGGGGAACCAGAAATTTGTGTGCTTGTCAGCCAAAAGAGACCGTTCACTGTTCTTTGAAATTGTCTCACTTGCGTCCTTTGTTGTTACCTTTTGTCTTGCACTTTGCTGTCTCAGTGCTCCAATTAAACGTAACATTTTTTGGCCTTCTCCAAGAAGGACCTCTATTTTGCGGAATATTGTGGTTTATACCTGAAGAACCTTGGCGGCACCAGTTCAATCGCACCTTTTGAACAATTCGTCAGAACTGGCCCTGACAGAAGCTACATCACAGAACTGCATAGAGAGTGCAGTTGCCCATCCCTCACTTCACCCATACTGGAATGGACATCAATTTTTTCCAGGTAAATCAGAAGTGATTCTCTATCACAGTATAAAAATGTGATGGTGCAGTTCTTTTTCTAGCAGGTGCTTCAGTGGTTGAAAAGCCCTAGAGTAGAGGACGGGTCAACACCCCTGGCAAGAACGCATACAGAACTAACATTGATTTTAAACGCCATTAAATGTGAAGATTGAATTTCCAGAGGCCTCGGCTTTATTAGAATCACTTCCACTTTGAAAACCTCTACGATTGCTGTTGAAAATGTCCAGTTCATCCGCCAAGATTTTGATGACCTACATTTTTGTCAACAGTTTACCTACAACGATATGCAGCAAATTGCATCAAAACGAGCTACGCTGTTGGGATCAAGAAAAAAGTCTAGGTTTTTCCACCTAAACAAGGGCTCCTTTCCTGATCCCACGGTACAGTATAGCACTTGGACAGAACGACTGACCATGGTCCCCACGCATTGATCTACACATCATGCCCGTTGATTGATTCATAGGTTGGTTTAGAATCAATACCTTTGACGTAAAGATCACCAAGGAGCACAACTGCTTAGGTTGCTTTATTTTCCCGCTCTGCGTATAATATCGAAAACTTACTCGCGAAGTTTCTCTCATCCAAAAATCAAGAGTTCAAACACGCGCGCATTTCAAGCTCCGAAATGCATCATCCAACAGTCACCTCAACGACCTGCATCGCATTCACAGAAGCAGTAACCTATAGCAACACCAGCACGAGGAAAGGAAACAGCAGTCATGAAAATACGTACGTATCAACGGAATTCCAAGAAAGTTTCTGACTAGAGAAATGACAAAAAATACATTTTCCCCCAATTCGATTCCCATTGAAAGCAACTGTGGCGATACACTTGGCTCGCATGCATGAGTGCGATTTCGATTTCCTTTTCTTTTTTTCTCTTGTTGCTTTCCTCCGAAAAAAATCGCATCCCGCGAACACCTGCTTTCCTCTCTTTTTTTTTCTGCCGTTGAACGGAATGAAACACACTTGAGCACGCGCTCAAGCAACTCGAGACAACTTGTTGCGAAATCACTCGGTTCTGATTGATTGTTCTCCAGTGCTTGCGAGCTCATCACTGCGGGCGTGACGGAATTGCGGGTCGATCAGGAATTCTGGGTGGAATCATTGGCACCGGGCGTCTGCAGAGAAACACTCGAGTCAAGAACTCAAACAGCAAAACTACCACAGTATAGTACAGTAAAAAAAGAAAAGACAGACGTGAACCGTCTTCAATCGGAACAAAGGAGAGGCATACAACGATAAGGCAAGATTGACAAGCAAGTCGGATCAAGTAAATCGATACCCAGTTTTCCAGTACATATAGCCACCGAATATTCATTTCCTCACGCATAACTTGAAATTGCACACTAGCGCGCAAAATAATAAGCAGTTGAACGGACAGGAGTACCACGATTATTGCCAACCAACCAAGTACGCAATATCCTGCTGCAGACAACGCGAATAGCATGTATCACTGTGGAACGAATGAACCCCAATTACTCCCGATACTCTGGGAAAAACCCTCCCTCATCAATCCGAGAGTCTACCGCGTGCGAGTCCGAACTGATCCTTTCTTTCCAACCCCCTCTTTGCCCGGACAAGCAGCAGCGGCAGCAGCATCATCATCGAACCGGCAAATCCTTCTTTCTCTCGCTCTTCCCCCTTGCGAGGACTGAGGTTCTCGCATGAAAACCAACCTCTGCTTCATCTATTGTACCGTACGTGATTCTATACGATTCTAGACTCCTTCACCGTTCCCATGCAGTGACTCGGGAAACCCCAATGTGAAGTCACAATGGTTAGTCAGGCAATGTCAACGTTAGAGGAGCAGCTGTGAAAACGGTTTCCCTGTTTCTGTATCCCCCATCAGTTCATTCATGAAATTCGACATCAAAACGCAGTTATCTCTAAACCAAGGCCAGACAGACATTTTAAGTGTGGCAAGCACAATACTGTATCCAAGCAGGAGGATGCTTACTCCCGAATGTTTCGGCACAATGCCGCTAGCAACTCGGAAAAATTATCATGTCGCAAATCCAAGCGCGAACTTCGACTACACTCTGACTGCGCCTCACATGTGTTGCCGTTAATTCGTACCGAACTGGAACTGATGATGGGGGAAAACACGAGAGTGTCGGACTGAAGGAACATCTTGTACAGGAAGACCTTTGAAGTGCTCCTTCATATTTCTTTGGTCGCCATTACTTGGTCAATCAATAACGATGACTAGAACCGAGTGGTTTTAAAAAGTGGGGACCCTTCTCCAGTTAGACAAAAGGCATGATCAACTGACTGACCAGACCTTCTGGACACGCTTTTTCTCACAAACGGCTGCCAAGGGGCTGTCGAGACCAGCGGGTCCTGGTTCCAAAGAAGATGATGATGGCGACGGAACTGCAGCGAACGCAAGGTACACTCTCCTCAGCTCAGATCGACATTTGGGCTTTATAGTAGTAGCTGGCTTTCGTCTCGGAGGCGCACTGCAAAGGTCCACACTCAATGGGCGTCAATTTCAACCAATACATCTCCATATTCCCCCATCCCACCTCCAGACTTCAGCATCGACACAACGCGTGAAATCAAAGTTCCCGTCACGCACACTTTTTCAGAATCACGCTAAAGGAATCAAGTACAGTATCGCATTCGAGGCGACGTCTCCAAAATGTTACGTTACTTGCGCTCAAATGGGAAAAAATTCACTTCTTTTCATTTCACGGCTGAAATGAATGAAACCTGGGTAAACATGTGCTGAATTGCCTAGCCTCGTAACATACACGTGTTGATTCAAACGAGTGCTGTTGAAAAAAAAAATAATAAGGAATACAGTATTGCCATTATAGTACTGTATAGTACAGTAATGCTATTACAGAAATGCGACCCCACAATTTCTTGTCGGCGTTGTGGAGATGACAATATCTTGACAATCAGCGCAAAAAAAAAAAATTTGCGGCCATTCGTAAGTGTGGTGGCCATTCCTAATGAAATCCGCGAGGACTAGAGAACAGATAGCGCTCTTCCACGCGATCGACTCATGCACCTGCCTATAACAAACACCCACACTCCATCTCCCGTTTGGATCTGACGCATCGATGAACCATACAACCGAGCAACACAACAACACCGCCGTGATGGGGGACTGTTTGACTGTACCGCCTAGGTAGATGTCAGCATCCGCAACTCTTGACTACACAAACGGGATAACAACTCACGCACTTCGAGCTTCCCAACACACTTTCGATCGCAACAGGGAAGGCGGAATTCATCAGATCAAATACTCCGGACAAGATTCAGTCGATACTTCAGTTCTCTCACTCATTCGCAAAAACCTAAATCGTACTTATACATACGGTGAGGATTTCTTCCCCACTGACCCCTACTCCCTCTCGCAGCGGAACTGCACATCTCTCTCGTCTATCTCGAGCTACGGTGCGGACGGGTAGCACCGTGCAAATTCCACGTTTCTGAAACTATACAAGGGGAACTACGAGTATTGTCGGGAAGATTGCCGTACCTCTCATGTTGCACACACAAGAAACGGACGGGCTGAATTTCAAGTAATCTCATTTCCTGCCCAAAAACGGCTTCTCCCGAATTCCCGGGTCTAATAAAAACCATGAAGAGGAATGCGTGGTTACAGAAAACGTCTCGCTCATAACATGGAACACCTGTCAGGAAAAAAAAAAGAGATTCGGGGTCACCGCTGAGCATGTAAGCTGAGCTCCACTTGCTTTGGCAGTTTTCATTTTGTTCTTACTTGCCGAATGGCTAATGGAATTAAAAACGGGAGAACTTCTAAGATGAATTGTTGAAGGCTTCGAGTGTCCCGCAGTAGACAAAAAAATGCAAGTTGGAATTTGTGCCGGAAAAGTGTAAATTCAGATAATATTCTTAGCCTTACCGACCGCTATGAGTTGACCCAACAAAACATTACAAAATTTTTCCATTCAAAAGAAGAAGGGGGGGAGGTGAGCGACGGTAACATACAAGCGGTACGTTGACAAAAGTTCCATCAGCAGAAGCTATTTCCAGGGGGCAAGATCAAAATCCACTGGCATCCCTAGTTTCTCCGCCATGCAAATTCACCCAGTAATACCTCACGCGTGACTACTGAATTTTCGGCGAATTCCAAATGAGCCAATGGTCCAATAGGCTCTTCATTTTCTCGATACTGTATTTCCCTCTCCTACATCACGTCCTACAAGCTCTTCGGATTCAAATGGTGATTCTACAATACTGCACATTGAAGATAATAACCCATTTTTACGGCGGTAATTGAGATGTAAACAAAGTCAAAGCTTGGGCTCGGTTCAAACCATTTTAAAAGGTCGTCCGAAGATAAAAACTTTCGTAGTTCCCCTGGTAAGTCTGACGTGGTTGGTTCCGGTATTCATGTCTTCCGTCGCCGGGAGAAAGGATGAATCACACACTCGATCAATCAAATCAAATCTGCAACACATGGAACGCACACGTGGGAAATCTTAACCCAGGGGAATCTTCACCGACCTCGGAATGAAAAAGCAACAGCCACAACCGAGAACTGGAATGGATGAATGAATGATTGAATGTGGTATGCCTAGTTTCCTTCCTTCGGAAAAAACAGTTTTCGATCATGCGATCCCCAGGCGAGGAGTTGCAGTGCAATGCGCGCGAGACTCGGCAAGTCAGAATTTTGGTGCAGCGAACTGAAAATTCGAATGGAATGTTTTCGGTACTTGCGCGACGGACCGGGGTTCATCCGAATGCCCGTCTACCCGCCGCTGGACAGATACTCAATGCTTCTTGAATAATGAATTTTTGAACTCGTTCAACGCCATGTTGCCGGCTGCCTTGGCCAGGGACTGTTGCATTTCCGGCGGCAGGTTTTGGGCGGCGTTGATGGCCATGCCAATGGCAGCTTCCGAGTTCATGTTCCGGCTACAGAGTAAGTTCACGGGGGCGGAAACATCAAACTCAACACATTCACTCTCGATCGAAACTGATCACGTGCTCGTTGCTCATGTTTAATGATACACAGCAGGACAGACAAATCATCGCTGGTTTCTCGCTACACGATACTCGGACTTTTGAAAACAAATAAAAATACATGAACGGAATAGAAATTAATCCCCTCCTCAACACGGGCCAACAGTTACGGGCAGACATGGAATACCGCAAGTGGTCGAGACATGGACAAAGGACGATGGAGAGAAATGGAAATGCACACATGATTACATTACATTGGGTAACATGCACGGGCCATACGCTCGTCGAAAGACTCAAGTGTTGTCATAATGTATGAGCTGTACATTGTCAATCATACGTTATTGCCTTGGGATCTGTATCAAGTTGAAACTTACGCAGAAACGCTCAACTGACTCTCTTGATGAATTTTCTTCGGACATTTCGTAACAAGCACAGTAATTGGAGTTGCAGAGAAAATTACATACCAATACGTCTACCGACGGCTGTGAGCAGCATGAGAGAGAAGGAGAAACAGAGAGATCAAAAAGAGGACGTTTACTCATTGCAGCGATCCATCAATTCACGCGACACTTTAACATGGATACTGCATTCAGCTCAAAACGGACGCAAGTTCCGCACCAGGAAATACAGTTTCCTTTTGCGCATGGATTATATTTTCCGCTAGCCGACGAGGCACTTTTCCTCCGCGAGGGCAGTTTCAAGAGTTACATCGAGCTCATTAATCACTGCAGAAGCAGAATCTCCTCCCAACATGACCAAGATTCCACTGATGAATTTTTGATCCCGAGGGTAAGAAGAAGGGAGACAATACTGGGCAAAACATAGCATATGAAAGCTGTCCAAAAGCACAACCCGACAAAAATATCACCACATCATACCTGGCCCAGAACTGAAGCGGACTAGGGATGGAAAAATAGAACGACAGACGGGAAGGCATACGGCACTCGAATGCCAAGAGACCGAGGGGTCTTGACGGATCTGAGTTCTTCACGACACCCTCTCTCCCTCATCGTCCTCTGACCGAAAGTAAATAGAAAATGACTGGTCAACTCACGATGGAATGAGCGGTGGCGGCAGGTTTCCCGCCGGTCCTCCGCGACCTGGCGGTGGCGCAGGCGGGGCTCTGTTTGGAATGCTTGGCGTGGGGCGGCCACCTGCGCCTGCTCCTCCACCCGCAGGTGGAGGCGGCGGTATTCTCCCGCTGCTGCTGCCTGGCCCTCCAGCGGGTGCTGCTGAGGACTGCACTTGTCGGCGCATCCCAGCTCCAGGTGATGGCGGGGACGCACGGGACATACTGGAAAGGGAAAGGCAGGCACCGGGGTCAGGGCAGACGAAGATCGCCGGTGTAAGAAATTCGAATCTTGGATTCTTTCCGGCATTGATGCTCAACTTCTTCGGAGTTCTTTCGTTATACAATGCGTACAAATCGTGGCAAGAATTACCCTATTCCGTTCAAAGGTACAGTACTGTATTCGTCGGAGTGATCATCTTTGATATAGTTGTAAACCTGCCTTAGGTTTCAAGTGATTCAGGCAGAACTCTCCAGCATTAAAAATAAGACGGTTGGACGGACGCTACGGGGGAAAACTCCTATTGTGGAAACTTCCACGTCACAGTTCTCTCAACTGTTCCAGCGTAGGTGGGCGACCCAGCATTTTCTGCCGTAACAGGTGCAACAGCATACAAATGCTCGGGTCACTAGAATCTTCCATGATATTTTCTTTCTTTCAAATTACTATTTAGAAGGGCTTCTGCAGCAGTCAACTTTGGAAATCTACACTGCTCACATGCCTAAGGAAGTCGATTCCCAACAAATCGGAGCATAGAGAATGGTTTGTCCACAACATACCCGGATTCCTCGGGGCGCAACCAATCGTCGCGAACAGGCGGCGGAACCGGAGTAGTAACCGTGGCCATAGAAACGTCTCCAATGATTTTCAGAGCTTCCTTGCACGCGTGGTACATCCGCAACATTTCTTCGCGCTTCCTCGCTTCTTCCGCACTTTCTTCCATCAGCGTATTCTGAATTTGAATCATGACAAAATTGCATGAACGCTTTTCGTCGAAGAAGGCGATGGCTTCGAAGAATACATGACTCCACATGCAACCCACACACTCACGTTGTACCAGAGACAAAGAAAGAATAAGCAAAAAAAAAAAAAAACACAGGATGTCCAACATAAAAAACAGAGCATCACATTTCATCAATTTCGCTCTCTAACCAGATGTTTTTCGGGTATACGTCAAAAAGTAGCAATATCACGTGAGAATGAATCACTGAGTCCCACATCAAGCAGGATCGCGCGTCATGACGTAGAGGATGTACTGTAGTTCATTAAGTAAGTACAGTACAGCAGTACTTAGTACGAGCTTGATATTTCTTACCTGATCTCCGGACGCGTAGAGCTGGGCAAGCAAGTCACTATTGATGAACGCTTTCACAGCCCCGATGATGATGTGCATAATAGTTTTCGGCACAATATCCCGCGTTGTTTTCGTTACGATTCTCATGTAGGAATCGACCAAATTACGAATGGTTTCAACTTGGCGTTCAAGCAGTGGATCCATTGAAGAAATGCCGTCCTGAGCCGAAGATCCGCCCTATGGAAAACGTCAATTCGAAAAGTTTCAAGACTAAACGGCAGTCCGTCCCTCAAAGCAACGACGGTGTTCCCAGCTTTAGGAATGTAAGCATTAAACACTCAATGCAATTAGGCATTTAAGTTATGCAAACCATATCTGGAAACTTGCAACAGTGCTACCCAGGAAAGAAGAAGAAAGGAATAGGTACCTAAAGCGGTTGAATACGACCTCATTTCTTTGCAATGAAAAAAAAAAATGCTTCAGACGCAAGGCAACTCCAAAAAATACGGTAAAACAAAACCACTCACCATAAGACCAAAATGTGCACATTCAAAGGGTGACCGTACATTGCATGCACGATGTCATCATGGTTATTCATTATTCACAACAGCACCCCGGGAAAAAAATGAAAATTACTCAAATAGAATGACTCAAACATTGCAGATCGCACGCAAGAAATGAAAAAAAGCCTAATTTAAATACAGTATGCATCCAAACACTCTCGCACAAAAATCACACAAGTGTTCTCATAACTTCAAAATCAACCATTCCGCAACTGCCGCGAAATCTTCATAATCCGATGTAAGTAACAATACAACTATCCATCAAGGAACTTTCATGCAAGAAAGAGAACCACAAAAGTCAGGAACGGCTCACCTCGTCGTTGTCGTTGGACGAACTTTGCTTTTCAGGATAAACGCCTGCTCTCAAGAAAGACGCCTTCCACGAGTCAATATCGTCCTGGTCACACGGCGAGAAACGAAAAATGATTTTCCGAAAGAAACGAAACGATAACCCAACCCTTGACAACACTCACTTGTGTTTCCACGGATAACTCCAAGGACTTGTAATCCTTGTACACGTTTCGGTGGTCCGGATTGAACAAAGCGAACATATGACGACGGGACATGAAACCTTGTTCCAGGTCTCGCAACTTCAGTCCATCCAACGGTAGCATGTACTTCTTATCTTTCTCCTGCGAACGTGGACACGGGGAAATTGAGGCATCTCATGCTCCCTCTTCCTCGCACGCGAACGACGAGGGAATAGCGCAGTCGAGATACCAACCTCTTCATCCTTGAACCACGAGAGCGACTCCGACGTCAGGACGAACCAATAATCACGGGACCCGCCCTTCATTATGCCGAGATTGTGAATGCACATGTAGCCTCTACGGATGACTTGATTGCCGAGACGTTGGCCGGATTTGATCTTGCTCTCCGTGTTCTGCTGAGCACTAACCATGGAAAATGAACTGCTATCATTTTTAAAATACCGAATCACAATACACAATACACATAAGTTCGATCTGTGAACAGAGGAATACTCACTTGGCAAACCCTATGAAATCGTCGTGGTTTGTGTTCATGTACGCCAGTTCGCAATCATTCAGAAGCATCACGCTCTCCTTGCACACTTGTTCACGCTCCCTGATAAAAGTTGTGATGATACGCTCAGTCTCCTCTCGTAAACGTGGATAGCGTCCCATCTGTTCATAAGCAAGAGAAACCCTCAATACCTCCCATTACAATGATATTGAACGGCATGCTGCGAACCTTATCCGTGCAATTTCGGACAACGTTCGATAACTCCTGAACTACCAAATCGATACATTTCAGGGAAGGTTCTTTCAACCGCTCGATTTGTGTCTTGACAGTTTCCTCGAACGCTCTATCCGGCGTGAATAATCCGACCCGGATAGCTGCACAAAGATATCAGTTCTAACACTTTTAAGAATGCATTCAAACTGCATTATTTTCCGAATATAAAATACCATGGATATTCCTAATGGTTATGGCTATCTCTTTTCGAAGCTCCTTTTCATCCACCTCCATTTTCACGATCTCGAACGGGAAGCGCTCGTGAAATAACCGATTAATTTTAGCCCCTCCGCTGAGTTCGTTTGTATTTATATTGGCCGACCCAGAACCTTCAATCGCACGGACGAAGTTGGTCTGCAGTTGCTGCACCATTCTGTACACACAAAAAAAAAAAAACGATACTGTAACGGCTTGAGATTTTGAGCATCAGAACCGAGAAAGTCAAGCTCATACGTCATCATCGCCTTCGTTTTGATAGCTGGGTCGTCAGGCCTGAAGTTTTTGAACTGCTCGACCTCCTTCTCCAAAGAAAGCATTTGTTTCTGAAAGTGAAGGCAAGTGTCAGCCGAATCTGGTTCAGAGAAACACAGGGTTGTTCATCTACAGTAAGTAGACCAGCACACATGAAAACAACAAGAAAGCAGTATCCTTTCATACCATCAGTTTATCTCTTAGAGATGGCAATGTGTCTCTGATGTGATTCGTCAGCTGCTGGTTCAAAACGCGCTGAAGGTAGGACGTTCCGAGACGATCCGCCAAGTGACGATACGATGGATGGCTGAAAACACAGGGAAAAGTCAAATTGAGGATGCTGTAACCAGAAAGAAGCAGAAACATTAAAAATTGACTGAACCTGAGGAAAAACGTTCGCTCGGCCTGCAAAGCAGCTTTGATGTCCTTTTTCCCATCAATGTCCTTCTGACTTCGGTTAACGACACCAACATAGCCTCGACGGAGAGGAAGAAGTTTATTTTCCAAGATTTCTCTCGCATCTGTGCCTTCATCCATCAAATCAAGCTTGGTGATCACCCCGATAGTTCTCACGCCTGTATATTCGTTCAGATATTACACGGGAGCAAGATCCAAGACAACAGAAAACTAGAATCTTCATCATTTCTCTTACTCTTATACCAAACTAAATCAGCTAGGATATTTCGACTGAAGAGCTTCCGATTGGGTTAAAAAAGGAATTCTCGGAAAAAGTGACAGAGACTTCGATTTCTCTCAAAACAAGAACAATAAAAGCACGAACAATCGCCCGAGTAACAAGCATCATGCAACTCTACGTGCATACATAATTGCCAAGACAAAATAATTCTTGCAAAACTCCAGCACAATAATAATATTTGTGTAATGACGGAAACGTTGTGAGAAACACTACACGGAAAGGACAAGAAAAAAGATCGGTTTCGGATACGCGCGGGATCGCTACAGGAATGGATTCATCACCTCCCGCATCAACGTCCTTCGCAATTTTTAGAGCATCACTAGTTGCGAGATCCGCATTCGCTGGAGTAACTGCCAGTATCAGCGTATTCTCCTTCTGAATGTACGTCAACACCATATTCCGAATTTGACTTTCTATATCAGGCGGTTGATCCCCTACAGGCACTTTGGTCATACCGGGCAAGTCAACCAAAGTCAGGTTCAAAACTAGACAAGTGAACGAAAACAACATAAACAACACTGAGAAGCTACTGTGCACACATTCGAGCGATGACAACATGAACTGCAACATGCTACGCGAGCAGCAATAAATTTACCCTCAGGATCCACTTGCTTAGATAGCTGCAACGCGTCGGACGTTGCCAAATCCGAATTCGCTGGCGTTACAGCCAGAATCAGACACGTTTCCCTCAGAACAAACTGAAGGATCATGTCTTTGATCTGTGCTTCAATGTCTACAGGCTGGTCACCGACCGGCACTCTTGTCATTCCCGGTAAATCAATCAGGGTTAAATTCAACACTGGACACCCCCCAAAAAAGATTATCAAATACGTCCGAACCCTCAGCAACTTGCTGCAATCCTTACCGTTCGGCGAATACACACGTAGGTTAATGGGCAATGGCGATATTCCCTTGTTTGTACCCGTCAGGCGATCCGTGTCCGCTTCTATTTCTTTCCGGATTTCGTCGAAGTCCGTGAACTTCTTTCCTTTGCAATGCAAAAACTCGCCGTACTCTGTAATGCATAGACTCGTAGGTTTTTTCATGGCTTCACGAGAATACCAACTCACCATAATTGTTATTGATCAACTGAAGTATTAAAGGTCGTCTCGTCACTATACCGGAACCTCGCGGCAGGAAATCACTGGAAGAAGAGATAAATGCACGTCACACTTGACCATATCAACGACGTATGAACTTGACTAACCGTCCGACGAAGTTTTCCAGAACTGAGCTTTTTCCTGCGCTTTGACCCCCGACAACCGCAATTTGAGGTAGGTCCAATTGCATGTGAACACCTAACTGTGTGAAGGCGTCCTGCAGCTTGTTGACAATTGGAATCAACTGTTCCATTCCAGTGTTCCCCGCCATGGCTTCGGATGGTAATCACACGGCACGAAGAACCTGAGAAAGAGCGTTGCAACAATCTCAAATCTGTTCAAAGAACGGTCAGGCGCATTTTTCGCATTCGACACATCATTCCAACCCACACCAACATAATGATCACTCAAGTGCTCAGCAATAGCAAGCACAACCCTGCCTATCGGCTTATTTCGGATGCCCATCGACACATTCTTGCAGCATCAACAGTCCAACTTGTTGCTTTTCATTTAGCCTAAACGGCCTATTTCTCACAGGACATACAATGCAGCAATTAATTTGACAAAACCCTTCCCTCGGACACTTCCGCGTATCAGAGCTGAACGGACGTTGGGCAGTGCTGGGAGCTTGACCACAAGTGCATGCTCGCCAAGAACAGTCCTAACAACGGCATACTCTAGGGCTGAAATTCATTCCAGAAAATATGGGAATTTTCACATCACAGAGGACGCATTTCTCAGAACACTTGATAGTAGGAAGACCAAATCATCTCCCCAGAAACTGAACTACAATTCCTAAGGGCACCACCATGTTTAACATCCACCACTGCATCCCTCAAACAATGTTACAGGGTGGTGTAGTTTCTCGCCGGAGCAGAACTCTTGGTCGGCCAAACTCCAGGCCACTGCACAAGTCTTGAGTGTCTTCCCAAGTTTACTCAAGACTTGGGAGTTTTTTTCCCAAGTTCACTCAAGACTTGGGAGTGTTTTCCCAAGTTCACTCAAGACTTGGGAGTGGAAGAGCTGAGGGAAATGGCATCTCAAAAAGATTAGGTTCAAAGAAATATCAATGATTTGATGGCACCACAAAAAAGTAAGGAGGCCTTTTCAGTGTTTTTAAATTGTTCTTCATGCAATGAATTGTTTAACACTCTTTCATTATTTCTGAATTTTTCAGATTGCCTTTTGGTGATGATGAAAAATTGGCCCTCAAGTCAACTCCCAGCAAATATGAGCTGAGGGAAATGGCAGCTGAAAAAGATTAGGTTCAAAGAAATATCAATGATTTGATGGCACCACAAAAAAGTAAGGAGGCCTTTTCAGTGTTTTTAAATTGTTCTTCATGCAATGAATTGTTTTACACTCTTTCATTATTTCTGAATTTTTCAGATTGCCTTTTGGTGATGATGAAAAATTGGCCCTCAAGTCAACTGTCATCAAGGAGACTCTCATGCACCAAGTGGAATGAAGTCCAAACCATCTTCAAAGAACAACATCCCAACAACATTCAAGTTCAACAAGCTTTGGATGTCCTGGAATCTGTTTGTGGAAGGCATTTAACTGCCCTTCTCAAAAGTAGGGAGAAACAATCATCCATCAAAAGCTTCTTCTGACAAAGCTGGGCCATCAATGGACCAAGCTGGGCCATCAGGTTACAAATCTCAGCCCTGCAAGAGGGCAAATGACTCAAGTGACTCTGATGAGTGACTTTTTCTGTCTTTAAAATGAATCTCTGATTTTAATTGAGTAAAGAACTGTGGTTACTTTTTGAAAGTAATGGCAGTGCATAAAGCTCAGTTGTTGAAATACACTCTTTGATTAATTTTTTCTGATTTTTGCCTTAAGAAAATTTTTTTTGGAACCAAATAAACATTTTTCCCTTCTTTCTTAAGGGAAATACACCCCCGGTTAACGTTTTTTTTCAGATAACGTTTTTCCCCCCTGCACCAACTAAAAACGTTAACTGAGTTTGGAAACGTTAACTGAGGGAATTTTTTGGGAAGGATCCGGAACGTTAACTGAAATAACGTTAACCGAATGGAACGTTAACCGGGGGTTGACTGTATTTGACAAGGAATTTCAACTACTCAACAATTACACCAGTAATGGCGCGCTTGCCTAACAGAGATGTTGGGCATGCACGCCATTGTTAGAACTGTGTGAAGGTCTATAAACTAATTATTAATATAAGAAGAAGTTCAGTAGAATTGAAGGTGTGTTAAGCTTTTACTCAAAGTTGTTCACAAGCCCAAGCTCGTAAAGTGGTATTTACTCTTGTGTGAAATATATATTATTCCTCTTTCAATTCATAAGAATTCCCAGACTGAATCTTTTATTTTATTTTATAAACAACTTGACACCAACTTATATTGTGGCCAGTTGTGCCCAATAAGAGATATTGTATTTTTAAAATTGGTTTACTTTTTTTTTGTTCACCCTGTATATGGCTACTGTGGAGTTACTCAATGAATGTGCTTGGGTGTGAGTGTCATTCCAGTGGCTTGCCTCAAGTTACTCTCCTGGGTGAGCCAATTACTTTTGAAGAGGAG